TTCAAATAGTGCTTTTTGCATCAATGAAACGGAGACACATGGAAAGCTGAAACCTGGCAAGAACGTGACTGCTGACGCACTGAACTCAGAAAAATGTCGAACTTCCCATATATTGGAATTTTTGGGGGGATATTTCTTCGGGACGTTATGTTTTTAAAGAATTTTTTATATCCTAGCTCATCGGGCGGAGATAGAAAATTTAATGTAGCAGCTGTCGCGCGCATGACGGACGTGATGTTGATTTAAGGAAAAATTCAAATTTTGCAGTGTTTCTCAGAGCACAGCTTTTGGGTGGGTCGCTTTTCCAAATATATTTTGTTTACCGCCAGTATAAAGGGGAAACGTATAAGGCTGAATCTGGGTGGCGTGGAGTTCCCTGAGTCAACATTTCAGAAGAAAAAAAATTTTTTTTTCGTTACAATCCATCAGGGCACTATTTTTAAAGTCCCATTTTCCTGAATTATTGTTTGATCCAAAGAAGCAGAGACAGAAAATTTAAAATTCCCTCAGGAGTACCTATTTGATTCCTTAGCACAGGAAAAATCCTACTTTTGAAATATGCCACATTTGCGTAGATTATAGGAGGGAAGTATTTAAAAAAGTATTCTCCACCCTTACAAAAAGGGACACAAGAAAAGATATCAAGTTTGGCACCCAAGAAATCATAGAGGTAAAAAATCAAGACTTTCGTCCCCATAAGTCACATATTTCAATGGGAACGTACTTTAAATACGTTTTTCCCATTTCGCAAAGAATAAATGAATGAATCACTACCCAAGGTAATGGAGCGCCGAAGGCGCGACTATAGCGAGTTCGTTTCGCAAACTCGCTAGTACAATATATTCCTAGGGCATGATCACTTACCTCAAGGATGACTTGTAGGTCAGGTTCTGCACTAACGTGTCGCAGTTAGGACATTGCCAGATTCCATGACGAGGAACGCTATCTTGTTACAATTCCCTAGCCTAACTAAAGGCACTAAGTTCTCCTTCGGTCGAACAAGAAACAATGGAAGATTTGTGACGCATTCACTAAATTCCCCAAAACAGTGATTGTTCTATTGTATTCAGCATCTTCACTCCTGCCATGTACCCTTATGGCATCAGCAACAGACCTTACTATTGTATTGCAACATATACGAAGAGGCACTCCTGCACTGTACAGGAATTAAAGAAGTTAACAAGACTACTAGTTGCTGATGAACCTGCATGAGTATGACAAGATTATTCCTCCATTGTCGATCTGGTAGACAATCGATATTCGATAATCTACAATTTTCATCGAATGATTTCATTTGCGTGATGGTTTGCACATTGGTTAGAAAAGTGGGGATACAGAGAAAATTCACATAATTCATTTTCAATTATTATTGCACTTTATATGAATTGCCTGTAAATTGCTCCATCCACCCTGTTCTTCCCATCGCTGTATCCCTCAATGACTTGGGAGGAAGAGGAAGGATGATTTCATTGTTCTTTTCTGTGTGGAACCGTGAGGATATTCCAATACACTTAAATTCGTCATACAATTTTAAACTTTCTATTCGAATGCTTGATGGTTAAGAGCCGCATTCTTCCCATGTATCCATCTCCACCATTTCCGGTCCTGCACCATTGTTTTGAAAAGTTCCATTCTAGCTGCAATAGGTGCACGCTGTACCGATGCCAGCTAGTAACGACAAATCGCACTACAGTACCGAGTTCTAATTGCTCATTAAGGTGAGTCTGAAAGGAAAAGGAAAATGAAAAACCACTCTATGCGCGAAGAGTCCATCAATAATCTATGAATAGGTAGGATAGGAGCAACCAGACCACTTGAGAGCCCCACTCCACTAGCTTTGAAGTATGTCTCAGATAAGAATGCTGGGAATGCATTCCCGTTCTGTACCCATGCAGTTAGCAGCATGCATTCGTGATCCAAGCGTCGTTAACGTTCTTCTCATTGCCTCTTTGTGTCCCGTTACTATACCTTTCACTGGAGGGTTATTCCACACGAATTCAATCAGTGCGTTCGACTCTTTTGGATTTCGCGATACGAATTCTCAGTGATTCTTGTCCATCCTACAGTCTCGAAAGAAACACAATGAGTCCCCTCAAATCGAATGCGGTTAGCGAGATAAACTCCCGGTTAGTTAGGAGGAAAATGGGAAAACTCCATGAACGGAAAAATTGTCATCTCAGGAAACTTTCATCGCACAAATATCAGGTCATCCCATAAGTAATGTCGTTTTTCTGGCATAGCCTTACTCGTGTCTTCTTTATACACGTATCTGCGAACATCCCATGGAATATTTCTATGCTAACTTGTGCAGGGGTTAGTCGTCAATATAAGTGCCGGTTTTCACAAGGTAACATTGCTCCGTTTTTCTTGGACACTAAAGAGAAGATGGAGGTGTCAGAAGAACACATTAGGCATATAATGCTATATGAATTTAATAAAGGGAATAATGCGACTGCAGCCACGAAAAACGTTCGAGATGTTTATGGTGAGGAAGCTCTGAATACGAGGAAATGCCAAAGGTGGTTCCAGAAATTCAGGTTCAATCCGGAAACAGTATATCCCAACATTTGAGTGGAAACAGCCTTGAGAAATGATTCACAAGGATGAGAAAGTACATTGTTGCTAGGGGAGACTACTTCAAAAAGATGTAATGTTTGAATAAAGTTCTCTTCCCTACACTCTCGTGCACTTCAAGCGCCGTTTTTGAATCGACTCATTACTGGGGATGAAAAATGGGTACTTTATCACAATGTTCAGCGTCGTCGACAGTGGGTTAGTGCCGGGGAACCTGCTGTGCCACAGGCAAGAAGAGGTCTTCACCCCAGGAAGGTTTTGCTGTGCGTTCGGTGGGATATTCTTCGCGTTGTTTATTTTGAACTGTTGCAGCCCGATGAAACCATAACAGCGGAGGTATACTGCCGGCAGATCCAAATTTTGAGCGCTGCATTGCAGGAAAAACGTCCTTCATTGGCCAATCGCAAGGGTGTTTTGTTTCATCGGGACGACGCGCGTCCTCATACCGCTCGGATCACGTGTGACAAAATCGAAGAGCTGGGTTGAGAAAAAATTCCACATCCGCCGTATTCACCAAACATTGCACCCTCCGATTACCACCTATTCAGAAGTCTACAAAACTATCTCAACGGAAAATAATTTGAAAGTTTGGAGGCTATCAAAAGTGACCTGTCCGCAATTTTTGCTTCGAAGCCAAATGAATTTTATAAACATGGAATTGAAATGTAGAAAGGTGGCAGAGAGTCATAGAGAACGAAGGGGAATATATACTTGATTGAAACTTGATGCGATGCAGGTGTATTTTAATTTTGAAAAACAGAGAAAAAAACGACATTACTTATGGAATGACCTGATACTTGCAGTAACTTGAACCAAAGATGGAACTCTTTCCATACAACTTTGGAGTTTGAGTGTGATTTTCACATAGTAGTTGACTTTGGAAATTTGACATTTATGCAATGTAGACTGGCCCGTTATGTGGCGAGGGAAAGGACAAATCTCTCTTCATGGAAAGTTTCACTCATCTTATGTGTACATCGATAAGTCATGCTACCTTTTTACTTTTCGTCCAATTTATAGCGAAAAACTATTTTTCAAATAAGAATATGTTCATTTTTGGTTATTTGTTCAATTTGGCAGAGTATTTACTGCTTATAAATAGCATCATCGAAGAGGGGAGAAGAGGTGATAAAGTCTTTCGTAAAAGTTGTTGCTGTGACATTCTTTAGTCCGGATAGCAGGATGTTTTTAACCCAAATTCAAGACAGCATTTGGCAGCAAGAACTGAGACTAATGGTTTGGAATGGAGTGGAAACAGCTCAACATACAACTTGATAACATATTCATCAGCTATAACCAAGAGCCAGTGTAGTATTTTTTTAAATCACTCTTTCTTCCATAATAATAAGGTTTTTGTGCCTACATTTGGCAAAAATTGGGGGGTTTATGAAGAAATTGAGGAATTCTCGTCCATGACTGGGACATTGGTCAAAGACTGAAAATCAGAGAAAATGGAAGGCAATATGAGTAAATAATTCTGCCGACACCTCATGCCAAGGGTGAAATAGACAGTCAAGCTTAATAAATGGCTCTTCGCCCATGTTAAAATTTTTTATGTAGCTCCTATGCCATTACTTGACAAATTGCAGTTACTATTTCATAATTACTTTAGGCTTAAGTAATTGAATTGGAATTGAGGAAACTTAGGGGAAATAAAATAGTGTGACCGATGTTGTAACTCTGGATGGCCGAGAAAGTCCTCAGCTTTTCACGATGGAAGATCAGATATATTATGCTTCGCGGGAGGTTCATGAGGGTTACGTGTAATTTGTGAGTGAGAATTAAAGAAAGTACTGATGAAATCCATTGCTTACAACCTCAGTGAGTCGCTCTTTCCCTGAGTGTTGTCAAATAATTAAGTGAGGCCGATAATGGCAAAGGCTACTTGTTTGTGTCATGCAGACGCTATATGCATGAGTGGGATGCTAAGTTGTCAGTCCGACCTGGTTAGCAGCGTGTCCCCGATGTGCACAACAGTCTAGTCATATTGATCTATGTTTTCGTTCAATGTGTAAGCAAATGGATGGACACAGTGGTAACCAAGTCAGAAAATGTGATGACGCATCGTCAGGTGGAGTGGGGAGTGGGCTCCTTTTACTATAATATGGAACTAAAAAAGTATACGTAAAAGGAATTGGTTCAACCTACAATTTTGGATTGACTAAATGTATTCAGCATTTTCGACGTGATTCTTCCCTTTGAACTCTTCATTTGTAATTTTTGAATTGCATTCTTCCTTCGTTTTTATAGAACGAAGTGGAGTTGAAGGTAAAGCGGAAAAAATTACAGGAATTTATGATGCCACTCCACAGTTTGAGACGCAGTCGTGTCCTTGTACGAAGCTATATGAATGACATTGTCTTCATGTTTCAGGTGATTATTATAGCATTCCTGCTAGTATGGGAGTTTAGTTCCATTTGTTTAAGATCATCGCTCTCCTATGAAGTCATGGTCCAAAGGCTGCGTTCTTTCTATGCGAGACAATTCCCTCCTCCGGAAAATATACAGAGGCATGCTCATGTCAAGTCTATGGAAGAGTATCGACTTCTCTATGAGGAATCCATTTCTGATCCAGAGAAGTTCTGGAAGAAAATAGCCAGGAATCTTTATTTCAAGGATCCACCTGGGTCAGGGGAAGACTTCCTCAGTTACAACTTTGACATCAAAGCTGGCCCAATATTCACAAAGTGGATGAGCACATGTTCTACGAACATTTGCTACAACGCACTGGACTATAATGTTCAAAGAGGACTGGGAGAGAAAGTTGCATTCTATTGGTCAGTATTGTTATAAGCGTACTATCTTTGTAAAATTTGTGCCAGGGAATCCCATTTACTGTAAGACTAAAGGAGCATAATAAAAAAGGTAAGACTTCTACAGTATATTGCCAAATGGGAGAGAAAACTTTTAAATGATTTGTTCCCATTACGCAGGGAAGGGAACCACCCCAACAATTCTCGAAGCATCAGCTATAAAAAACTCCTTGAAGAGGTATCCAAATTCTCCAATGTCCTGCTGGAGCTTGGCGTAAAAAAATGTGACAAAGTTGCAATTTATCTTCCAATTGTGGTGGAACTCATTGTGGCCATGTTGGCATGCACCAGAATTGGAGCTGTCCATTCCGTTGTCGTAAGTGGTAGCTTTTCGGTTCCAAGCTCAAGTAAGCTTGTTAAGCTTTTGAGCTCATTATCTTAACTGGGAAAGAAACATTGATCCTCTTTTCTCATTACTTTTCAGTTCGGTGGCTTTTCAGCTGGATCTCTGGCGGAGAGGATAATCGATGCTAAATGCTCCATTGTTATCACAGCTGATGGAGTTTGGAGGGGGAAAAAGCTCATTCATTTGAAAGCAATAACTGATGATGGTAAGGCAATTCATACATTTTTATTTCCTGCTTAATATAAACCCAGCTTCAGTGAATAAGAAGCAAAAATAATATTTTATTTGGAACATTTTTGGCGCTGGATAGAATCATATGCTACTTCTGTTTCATTTTACAGCTATTGAGAGGTGTGCCAGAGCTGGTTTTCTTATGAAGCAATGCATAGTCTTGAAACACCTTCCTCGGGTCACATCTGCTGTAGAAGTAGGGATTGCCAATGGGGTATTGTTAACCCACCTCTCTCAGGTGGGTTTTATGAATTATCAATTTTCCTAGGTATTTCAGTAAACTAGAGCATCCACATCCTTATGGATTGTACAGGGTTGTCGTGGTCAAAATTTCCTTATGCAGAGACCTCTGGAGAATCGCGTAGCGGGTGAAACACATTAAAACTCGAGAATTGGGTAAAGGAGGACATGCAGAAGAGAATGGCACGGGAAACAATTAGTTCATATATTCACCACCAGGGGAAAAAGTGGCGCTGTAATTTATTATTGGTGAATGGAGCAATTTCTCTACATGGTTTTCAATGGTAATCACAATTTGCTCAAACCTAGTAATAGTGTTTTCAACGACGGAATGGAGAATATCGTCGGTAATGTATCTCACATGGTGTATTATGCTGTGCTTCATATTTAAATCATTCGAAGCCTTCTTATAGTAGGAGGTCAGTCATACCGCCACTTTGTCCCCTGGTGGTGAATATATGAACATTTTTTCGTGCCATTCTCTTCCGCATATCTTCCTTTACCAATTCCCGAGTTTTAGTGTGTTTCACCTACTACACGATTCTCCTGTGGTCTCTGATGTTCCTCTGATGTCTCTGATGTGATCTCCTGGAAGTTTAATTATGACCACCCTGTACCAATGAGATACATGAAATGATGCCTTCTTCACGTTCAGAAGCTAAATGTTCACGTGTCATACACTTACGTGAACACTCACGTGTTCACGTGTCGTGGGTATTAACGTTTTTGATGATGGATGCAGGTGGCATGGAAAAAAGGGCGCGACTTTTGGTGGCATGAATTGATGAAAGATGCAAGTCCAGATTGCCCAGTGGTGTGGAGGAATGGGGAGGATCCATTGTTTATCCTCTATACGAGGTAGGCAGGAACACTTTCATGATCTTTTAAAGAATAATGCAAATGCATCTCGAGGCTCAACAGGCTCCATTTCGCTCATTGATCTTCAACCAAGCATATTAATTATTCTTCTTTTCTAGTGGTTCTAGCGGAAAGCCCAAAGGCGTTCAGCATACCCTAGCAGGGTATATGCTTTATGCCTGGACGACCTTCAAGTACACCTTTGACTACCAAGAGAATGATGTCTATTGGTGCACCGCTGACATTGGCTGGATCACAGGACATACATATATTACCTACGGACCCCTTTTGAATGGATGCACAACTGTACTGGTGAACAGATCAGTGGATTTATTTAGGCATATGTTAATTTCAGAATTGTAACATAAATGATGGTGTTCAACTGATAACTTGCAATTTAAGTGGTCAGAGTTTCCAGAGGTTTCAGAGTCTGGCAAAATAAACAAAAGTGTGAGAAAATAATTCCTGTAAGAACTGTTTAAAGTCGTGTTTCTGAATCCGGAGCAGATAATCACATGTATTTCAATGGTATTAGGGAAGTACCGATGTAGCAGAAAGTGTCCTTTGCTCAGAAATCATATTCAGCTTGAATCCCGTCATGGCATCAATGTATGCGTACTTGCGCAGGATCTCACAGAGATTGCAATCTCGTTTGAAATGTCCACTATGATCTGAATTTATTTCCTTGAATAATCCATTATTACAGAGGGTACTCAAGTGTAAGTTCTTGTCATGTGCATCTCCCCTAGAATTAACCTAATGAAGGTAACAGTCTGATTAATTCGTGTTTCAACAGGCATTTAACGCAAGTTTCCATTGGAAAAATAACATTCAGATGTCCAGACCTATATAGCGTGCATTGAATTGGAGAACATCCTTCAGGACAAATGTCTTACTGCATATTTTGGAAACTTAATAATCAACATCGTTCACAGTTTCTTTACGGAGATATTAGAGGTTTTAATCTACGCTGTGAATGTTTTTATGCACTTCAGCAATAATCGTGCACCCACTTACTTGAACGAATGAATTTTAAAATAATTAATACACTGATTCACTGCCGAAAAAAAATAACTCAATGAGGCATTCTTAGAAGGACTTTACCATTAGATCAACAATAGCATGGCAAACATGTACATATTAGATTTGGTTGATATGGATGTGTCGTATCTAAAGACATCATAAACCTTTACCAAAAGTAATTGGAAGAAGTGTTACATATTAAATTCTACAAGGATTTCTTTTTTTGCCCCCTGGGTCTTATTTGTTAGACCTCTATATGTTTTAAAAATAGGTTCAACTGGTGAATCCTGATATCCCTATTAGGTACGCTGGCAGAAAGCCTATTTGTATATTCCTCTTTGCTTACTTTGTTTTCAGTTTGAAGGCATTCCTGATTACCCTGACCATGGAAGGTTCTGGGCTGTCATAGACAAGTACAAAGTAAACAAGTTTTACACCGCACCTACTGTTATTCGTTCACTGATGAAGTTCGGAGAGGAAAACGTGCAAAAGTGCGTAATATGATACACATAATATTAATTTCAAGTCTGTATCACCATCGGTAGATGAGGCTAGAGCGATTCCGACGAATCATTACCTGTGACAGGTATTCGCGATCAAGTCTCAAACTACTTGGCATTGTAGGCGAGCCCATCAACCCAGAAGCTTGGTATTGGTTCAACCATGTCGTTGGAGATGATAAGTGTCCGATTGTGGATACATTTTGGCAAACAGAGACTGGCGGTCATGTCATCGCACCGCTTCCGGGAGCCACTGTAACGAAACCTGGATCAGCCGTTGGTCACTCTTGAAATTCTCCGTGAACTCTGCTATTGCGATCTGGTCAAACTAACATTCCTTTGTGCTTGTGTTTGCAGACATTCCCTTTCTTTGGAGTCCTTCCAGCCATTCTAGACAGGAATGGTGCCGAATTGACTGGAGAATGCGAAGGCTCTCTCGCGTTTAAGAGACCTTGGCCAGGAATTATTCGAATGGTGCATGGGGATTATGAGAGTTTTGAGCGAATGTATTTCCAGGAGTTTCCTGGGTACTACTCCACGGGAGATGGTAGGTTTATGTGCCTATATCATGTTGTTATTTTATGGAACTGAGAAATCTGAAACGTGACGCAAGTTCTTTGTCTCTCAGCATTTAAAACCGCATTGGTCAAAATACCGGATCTCATATACAGTGATTGACATATACGCACCCAACGAAAACTTCCAAGTCTATTCGAGCCGTTCCTCCGATTTACAAGACCATGTTTCTCACATTCTCGTCATATTATTATTCAAGAAAATGGAAACAGGAAGGAAAAGCCTGATTGCATGTATTTCAAAGTACAAAATGAGACCATGATATATTCTAGATTTGTTCTAGATTTGAAAGTCACATTGGTGGGCTAGTTTAACTAGTGCACTAACACTGCACTGTGTATCTTTGGATCGTATCTGCAATTAATGCCAAACTTAACGGAGAGGCCTCTGGATCATTGTTTGGAAATTATGTTACATCATGCAGGTGCAAGGAGAGACAAGGATGGATATATTTGGGTGACAGGTCGCATTGATGATATGTTGAATGTGTCTGGCCACCTCCTGTCCACGACAGAGGTGGAGTCCGCTTTGGAGGAAAACCCTTGTATAGCGGAGGCAGCTGTAGTTCCACATCCCCACTCAGTCAAGGGCCAATGTCTCTACTGCTTTGTCACACTAGTCAACAGTGTCCCTTTCACAGATCAACTTGTGAAGGAGCTGCGTGAGAAAGGTATGCAGTCTCAAGTAAACATAATATTGTGCATAACGATTTTTTCTTCTGATTCCTTGGTCCCTGTTTCTTTTCACCACAGTACGAGAGAAGATCGGCTCTTTTGCCGTTCCCGATTATGTCCAGTATGCACCTAGCTTACCGAAGACGAGATCGGGCAAGATCATGCGTCGGATTCTCAAAATGATTGCCCAGAATGTCATCGACCTGGGGGATACCAGCACGCTTGCGGACGAGTCTATTGTGGAACTTCTTCGACAAAATAGGATAGCCACATTATAACCCGTTATTCACTTCGTCATTTTTCGTCCCTTTTATGTAGAAACTCCCAGAATGTAAAGGTACGAGTACTAAGAATGCATTGTGAATATTGTCGTGTCCAACTAACAACCGCGTCTTAGCTTGAGCTCATTGTTGGTTACTGTAAAATTGTCCATCATATTAATAAAATGTATTCACAGCATTCTTGCAATGAATGAATGCAAAAAATATTCCTAAATATCTCATTGGGGAGAATCTTATGCTTTCACACTCAAGCCAATGGTTGTTGGTAGCTGAAGAACTTTTCTGCACAAGTATAACGTAGGCTTTCGTGGTATTGACTTAGTCGAAGCTAGTGGTAGTGTGGTAATGGTAGCATATCTTCCTTTATAACAAACACTTTCATCACATAGGAGTTGATTGTTTTCTTATCTCACCTGCCTTCATTGTATATGTAAACCAATTCAAGGCCATTTACTGCTGGATACAAACAAAGTTTATTACAAATTCTAGCTAACACTTGGCCCCGAGGTGCATGAAGGGCAGTTATCAATCGCAAGTTCGATAGTAAACATTCCAAGCGATTCCATCCCATAAATATTCCAACTTTATCATCGTGAGAACAACATGAAGAACAATGTAGCCTACAATTCGGGAGATGCCCCTCTCTAGCCTCCGAAAGGAAATTCACAAGTCTTGACATATTGCAGCTATCGACCGTGAACTGTCTTTGCGAGTATCATTCCACTGTTAAAAGCGTCCAGCAGCTCATATATGTTCTTATAGCATCTATTGGTCACTCTTTCACTGAAAAAATCGTAGACATGTTCGATTAGATCCATACCGTCATCCTACCCCCTCCCCATCCCCTGGTGTTGGACATCGATGACGATCGCCTCCAGTTTGATCATGGATCGTCTAGAATTTCGGGCTAGAATAAAATCATGCTGAAAATAATTTCATCGATGCATGAAGGAGCCTTCGAACAATTGAAAAGACGCGATCCTTGAGCAGCAGGCAAGACTCACATCTACCTTCCACCATACCAATCTGCTGAGACTTCAATGGTTTCACAATGGTTTAATGGTTCCATCGCACTTTGCCTTCACCCCCTAAATTGGCAGTCCATTTCAAACAGGGAAATATGATGTTTTTAAAATCTTTCCTCAGGGTATCTCCATATCAAGGCCTCTCACAAAAATGCAGTGTTAAAACTTGTAAGAAAAAATATTCACAGTGCTCCGTACCAGTCGACGCGGCTCAGTAAATTTGACATGGAAGTGGGTACTCAAGCCTTCCCTTCAGCCGATATCTGAGGCTACTACTCATTAGGAGATGCACAGCAGGCTGGAAGCGACTCTTCGCTATGATGAACATGAGGTAGAGGCAGGGGTGGGCGGGGGGGGATTGGCGAGGCGTGTGGATTCTGTCAATTTTTAATGAATTGTGATATTTTATTCACGTTACGTGACTTTTGGCATGGGAGGCACTGGACGACCAGTCGCAGTTCGTCACTTTAAGCGCCATAAATCTCCCAGCTACTCTACAGCAAAAGGGGAAACTGGGGACGAGCTTAATAACAAATTTCTCAGCACAGTATCAGCTGCAGAAAAACAGGAACGCATTTGATTTTTTTTCTTGGTATGGCGCACATGGGTGGAAATGATGATGTCCCCAAAAAATTTGCTCTCTCGAAATTTTCTTCATAGATTACTCCATGTAACACCTCTGGCATTATTGGCAATATAAGAAGTTATTCATTAACCCCTCCCTCTCCCGAACGGGACCCCAGTCATTTTTCACCAAAACTAGGATTTTTCCTGCCTTTAGCACCTCAGAAAATACTTTTATTCAAGTTTCGCTTTAGTTTCTTATGTTATAGTATACCTTGTATTATATTACTTGGACTTAGCTTCCGCCAGTCTACTTCAGGGGTTCTTTACCTTTTACACGTACGGACCTCCTCAAGTATTACCCATGGACCCCATGTTAAGAATCCCTTGTCTACTGTATACCCGAAAGCGAGAAAAGAGTGAGATTGTTGGAATGCATGCATTTGAAAGACGGAGAAAAATTCTGTTGTTTATGACCGAAGAAACATGAATTTAGGTGTTTTCTGTGATGTGAGCATTGGTCAGATATTACCCTAGGTTGGTCTGCTCAATGAAGCACCTTCAAGTTTGCTAGTAAAACATTTGTAAATCTCCATGAGTCCAAGGAGACCAACTGAAATTGACGAACTAAGGGACGGCCTAGCACCTGGAAGACAGCATGCTTTCATTTTCAGCGGCTTTCATTGAAGAATCGCTCTCCTATTGAAGTCAGCGCCCACTTTCTTCCACTGAACACCATTCAATACTACTCAGTTTCCCTTAGACATCTGCATGATCATAAATGATGCGATAGACATGTCGTAAAGAAAGCAATCAATCATGCTGGCTTTCAAATTTGGCGAAATACTTAAAAAGAGCGGGAATTCATGAACATATATAACATAGAACCTTAAAATTTGATTTTGCGGCGAAATCAGATGGAAAAGGTTCGTGAAAAAGGTCCTATGGAGGACAAGACGTTAATGCATATAACCTACAGTAAAATATAATTCACTGTAAGAATAATTGATACTTAACAAGCATTAATTCAAACAGCAGGGCATTTACCCCCTATGAATCCAGGACTCATCACAAATGGTGTGGACCGCACTGTAAAATCTGTGTAATGATACCATTTTTGCCCATTTGTCCAGAAACGTCTCCTGTCCTGCTTATCGGATCCGAACCAATCAGGTATCGATGGAAACCTTAGAACCTTGAAAAGTCAAAGATCCCATTTGCATCGCTTTTCGACTAAAACTGAGGCAATTAAGATATCTACTGTCGCAAAGAGAAGAGGCAAAGGCAGTGGCTCCATGACTGCCTGTCGGGCTCGCGTGATCTGGAACCACCGCCCGAAACCCGGCGAAATATGATCTTTTTACCCGAGTCTCGGCCCCTGTGTTCCTAGGATCGGAGGCCCCCAAGCACAATACATTGCAGTCTACACATGTGAAACGTTATATAACAACCGGGGTGAAAGCCGAACCTGGGCTTTCTTCCCTGAAGTCACCATAAGCTAGAGGAGGGCGCTGATCTTACATTTGCGCTGACCCCACATGACCTAAGGGATTCCTAAGAGAGAAAAGCCTATGCTGTCTTGGGAGTGCGGGTGAGGACGGGTATGCTCTTGAAATAGTGTGGAAGAAAAACATGCTCCACGGTCCATGCGGAACTCCTTCCATCGATGCCTTCTGCATGGAGAATAGAATCTGGAAGTAGGAGTTTTCCTAAAAATGTTGTTGCGGAGACACAAAAAAACTGCGACGGTTACCTATTCATACTACTCCAGAAGAGACAAAGTGAGGACAGCCCGAGTCAGCCAACACGAGTTGGACAACAAATGGGTTATTTCCTAAAACCTCATGCTTTTCACGAGAGACATTAGACAAGTTCTTCCCGTCATTCACCACGGCAATAGGTGCGCCTGCCTTGCTGCTTGCCTGAGATAAAGCTCTCATTTTCAAAGAGACATAATGTTATTTTTTTTCATGTGCAAAACCCAGATGAATGTGCAAATTTGTCTCAAAAGTTTTCTTTTTATTAACAAAGATATCTGTACCTAATTCGAATGTGAGAAAATAAAATACATAATGATGGCTTTGAAAAAGTGCCGTCACTGGAAGTTTCCATGCGTGGTCATACATCCAAGCTTGCAAGATAAGGAGAATCAGCGACCAATTATTCATTTTGCAGTTCATCCGCCTATTAGAACAAGGGTGGCTGATTTCAGACACACGTGATATTTAAGTAATCCTACTCTCAAATGAATGTGATTTGAAAATCCGGCGCCTGACATTCACCGTGAAATACTAATTAAGCACACGCAAGAAACGCACACAACTTTACAATAAGTTCACATATTTTGAAGGAAAAGCCACTCCTTCAGCGACGAAGAGTCCTGCTCCGCGAAAAATACGGAGGTGTAGTATATACTAGCAAGTTTGTTTGCCCTTCGGGCAAACAAACTCCCTATGGTCGCGCCTTCGGCGCTCCATTACCTTGGATAGTGATTGATTCATTCATTTTTTTGCGAAATGAGAAACATATTTAAAGTACGTCCCCATTGAATTATATTTTAAACTAGCTATGGTCGCGCCTTCGGCGCTCCATTACCTTGGATAGTGATTAATTCATTCATTTTTTTGCGAAATGAGAAACATATTTAAAGTACGTCCCCATTGAAATACGTGACAAATGGGGTCACAAGTCTTGATTTTTATCAAGCACTTTACTTCTATGATTCTATGTGTGCCTAACTTTAAATCTTTTGTAATCTTGTATCGAGACTTGAAAGTTTTACTTAACTCCTTGTCTCTGTCACATTTATGCAAAGTTTCAGCTTTCCATGTCTCTTCGTTTTACTCAAGCAAAAATAGTGTTATGTAGGGGGAATGAGTAACGGGACATGGAAAGTAAAAGAAGCCAAAAGGAAGCCAAGGAATGGCCCGGAGTTGAACCCGGACATTCTGAGTGCTAGTTAGATATGCTACTGTTACACCACCGAACCCAGCATATCCAGACGGCTCTCTGAATGCCATCCTCATCTGTCACAAAAAAATATTAAAAAAAAAGGTTTCCCTTAAATATGTAACCGGGGTACAAAAACAAATATATATATAAAAGAGCTCATGACCAGATTGAATCATTGCCTCACAGGAACGACAGTGTACTCAAGGGATAGGCTATATCTAATACTAACGAGTTTGTTTGTCCTTTGGGCAAACAAACTCGCTATGGTGGCGCCTTCGGCGCTCCATTACCTTGGATTCCTTCCTTTTTTTTGCGAAATGGGAAACACAATGGGAAACACACACATTATTTAAAATTTGTCCCCATTGAAATACTTGGCATATGGGGACGAATGTATAGATTTTTACCAAAATCATTACTTTTATTATTTCTAGTGTGCCTAACTTGAAATAT